TCCAAGAAATAATTGCCACTTCCAATATGCATATACATTAACTACTCAGTATTATTTTCATCAAGGAATATCCCATATCAGAAAAAATAATATTAAAGAGTAATTAATCCATCAACAAACATTTACTAAGTGTCTACTATGTGATAAGGACTGTGCTGGGAAGGCACTGAAAGTACAAAAATTGAAATGAAAAAATAGTCAGTACTAGTACTGTTACATATTTGTGTGTGTGTGTGTGTGTGTGTGTGTGTGTGTGTGTGTGTGAAATTCTATAATCTGTCTCTGTCCTATTCCATTAGTGGCTTTTATTTAACCCAGACATCATTAAGAAATGTCTATCAACATAAGATACCAACTTCTACATATTTTCAGCTTTATTCTTTAACTACTTCCAAACTAAACAAAGGCTGCCACCTTGTGGACTTATATTATTAGATAAATAGATCAGAGAGAGAGAAATTTAGTAACTACTATTTTCCAAGACTGCTGGTCTCAGTGTGCTTTGCAATGCTTTCCAGGGGAATAATGAATAATTCACATGCAATTTGATATACTTTGTATTAATTGTGCAGTCAGAATTCTGAGGATAGTTATTCTTTCCCTGACAAAACAAAGCCATTTTAAAGTATTTAACACATTTTTTAAAAATAGATGGTTAAGTGATGGAACCACTATGCTAATTTCCCCCAGACAAATTGCTCTAAACAGATCTAGAAAATGCACCAGATCAAATAATGACAGGAAAGTCCAGAAAATCATTTGTCCAACTCAGTTCAGCATAAAGAAGATAGATAGGGAGCTATGTGGATACTGGAGCCAGGGTTGGGTTAGCACACGCCACCCAAAGAGCACTCCAGGGCTCAGGGAGCTGCACATCAGGGCAAGAGGAGGTCCCAAATCTATATGGGACACCACCAGACCCATACAAGGTCACTGGCACAGTGACAGATGCAAATTGGCAGTCTTGCTTGCCCTCTACCCAGCTCCAGGGCACAGATCCAGAGTAGGCTGAGAAGGGGACCTACACAGGTAAGTAGCATTCTCTGAGTGGGGAGGCCCTGGGTATGTACTGAGAAAGGAAGAAGTTCAGAAGTCACCAACAGCATGAATCAAACTCAAGTTCTGAACAGGGTCTCATTTCCAGTGTCTAGGGCAGCCTGCAAAACAATAACAAAGGCAGGAAACTCAGACTAAATGGGAGTCTACAATCTTGCCACTAAGAACCAACAGAGCAGTCCAGCTGGCTGATGGGGAAACAGTCAAGCGGCAGTCTCCTCTTGCACAGACACAAACCCAGATCAGGAACGTGGGGAACTCAGACCAGGAGAGCAGCAATCGGATTTTGCCTTGGATCAGATCACTTTAGGAGTACTGAATGCTTTCAGGTCGCCAGCCCATCTTTGAAATCTTAGAGTAATGCAACACTCAACAGCGCAAGAAAGCAACAACAGCTCCAGCCCAGACCTTTGCTCCACAAGTGTGGCAGAGCCCAGCTCTAACCATCCAGTCTGAAGTCAGGAAGTAGACAGGAAAAAACGGGCAAACACAAAAGGAACCCAACCATAAAGAGTTATTATGATGGAAGAGATATTTAAGACACAAACACAGAAGAGAATGACCATAAAACCTCTACAAGCAAAGCCTCAGAGAAAAACATACCTTAGGCAAAAACTCAACTAGAATTCCTGAAAGAAATGAAGAGTTTTTTAAAAGTTTAAAAATGTTTTATAAATGGAATGAGAGTGGCTTGAGAAAAAAATTGGAAAATAAATGAAAGATATGAAAGAAAGAATTTAAAAGAGAAGAAACAGCTTAGCACGAAGTATAAAACTTTTGCCCATGCAAAAAACTCCCTGAAATAGAATAGGCCAAATAAAAGCCAATGACTCCATCAGGCAAGAAGAAATCTTAAGATAAAGCCAAAAGGCTGAAAAAATAAAACCAGTAAAGTATCTCATAGCAAAAACAAATGACCTGGAACACAAATCAAGAAGAAAACAATTTAAGAATCACTGGACACTATGACCAAAATAAGACCCTCAACATCATATTTCAAGAAATTTTAAAAGAAAATTGCCTAGATTTCATAGAACCAGAAGGTAAAATGGAAATAGAATCCACAGGTAGCCTCCTGAAAAAAAAAAAAAAGCAAAATGAAAACTCCCAGGAAATCATAGGAAAAATCCAGAGCTTCTAGGTCAAAGAAAAAATACACCAAACAGCTAGAAAAAAAAAAATCGAGTATCAAGGAATCACAGTCAGGATCACTGACAATTCAGTAGCCCCTACTATAAAGGAGTAGAAAACTTACTAGAGAAAGCAAAGGATATAGGCTTATAGGCAAGAATAATCTACCTGGCTACATGTACATATATACATATATATATGCACATATACATATGTACATATGTATATGGGTGTGTGTATGTGTGTAATATAATGCTACCAGGGAAAAAAATGGACCTTTAATAAAACACAGGACTTCTAAACATTCCTGATGAAATGATCAGAAAAGCAAAGAGACTTTGAAATTCAAACACAGGAGTGAAGAGAAACATAAAAGGTAAATATGAATGAAGAAAGATAATGGACTAAACAAGGATAAACTGCTTACATTCAAATATGACCAAAGATGATACGTGTCCTCTTCTGAACCCTACTGTCATTAGGGTCCACAGAGGGACTGTTTCTGCTATGTCTCGATGATCTTAAGAATGGAAAGAAAGAGGAAGAGCAACCCATTTGGGGGGGAGGAAGGAGAAGAAATTATCTTACATAATTAGGGTGTACAAGTAGACTTCTATGCAATCAAGAAGAAGGTGGTGGTGGTAAGAATTAATGCTTAAACATCACTCTCATCTGAACAAGCCAAAAAGAAGGAAGAACACACACAGAGTTGAGTTCAGAAATACATTTCAATCAACATGAAATTAGGAAGGAAAGCGGAGATGGAGAAGGAGAAATTAGAAGCAGGATAGATTAAGGGAGGGATTGGTTCTACATGTTTAACTCTAAGAATGTACAAAAATATTCACAGCTCTTCTAGAGGTGGCAAAGAATGGTAATCTGAGGAATGGATGAATTAACTTAAATGAATTTGAAGGAATACTACTGTGGTGAGGCTCTCATCACTCTTATCAGTGTAATGACCAACCAGGACTCTAGACACTTAATGATGAAACATGCTACCCACCTCTTGATAAGGAAGTGAAAGACTCATAATACAGACTGAGACAGATATTATTTTGGACATAGCCAAGGCAGAAATTTGTTTTGATTGACTCTACATGTTTGTAATGCGTTTTGTTTTACTTTGCATTCTCAATCAGGGATGGGAAGGTGAGATTGGAGAGGGGGAGTGGGGAGGACCATGGGTGATTAAAATAAATAAAAAATTTTTTGAAAATAACAATACCATTAAAGAGAGCACCAAAGTATTCCAATGCTAACTTATCTCTCCTAACTAAAGAAAGTTTTCACTGGTTTCCTTATTTTTAAAAAGAGCAGAAAGTAAGCATTTTTTATGATGTGATCACAAAGTTAAGTGTTTGGGATGTGGAGGGGCAAGAGAGAAAGATCACTGACACTGTACTTTAAAGGTTTGACTTTAATTTTACATATATCTTTTTCATGACTATGGCTTTTAGTTCCTAAAGGAATCAGACATAATTTTATTGTTACCATCCTAATGACTATTCTCTGATATAAGAGTTTCTCAAAGTGGATATGATCTTCTGGAAATCCTAATTCAATCCAATATGAAAAGAGAATGGGGTCCTGGAATATGAAGCCAACCAAGCAATGAATGATTTTTGAAAGTTATTTAGGCTACTACTCTTGGTTGCCAGTTATCTCCTTTAAGACAACAGTATGGCCAAAGTCAACTTGGTTCTAATTAGGGGACCATACTTTCTTCTTCATGTAATACAGTCCACTGATGAAAATTCCTCAGCAGGATCAACTTTTAACAGTAGCAAAAGTCCATCTCATGACCTCAGGCTAAAATGATCCCAAGATTATTTAAATTTTCAATAATAGCAAAAAAGAAAACAACATACAATGAATTTCACTCTCCTCTTTGAAAATACCAAGAGATTTACTGCTCCTCTAGTATTTTCTAACCAAATACCACAGAAGTGCTGTTCTCACAATAGATCAAGAAAGGAAAGAATTTTTTACAAGATCAAAACCAATTCAGGCTAAACTCATGTCAGTTATCAAAATTCATGTCCCCTCTGGCAGGGCTCTCACCTGCATTTAATTTGCACTGGGGTGAACTTAACCAGTATAGGTTAAATTTGGGTCATAACTGATGTGTACTATAAGTCTGACTTTCATGGGTAATTTAGTAATTATAAATTTCTGCTAAGAAATACATGGCTTAATTTTTTTTTTACTGTTTTATAAGAAAATTCTTTTGATTCTATGAAAATAGCAATATGTGAAATTTCTTAGCCTTGTTACATTTTTATGAAACTTATTCTCATTTTTATTAATGACATAGTTTTATAATATGCCATTTACGTGATGTTCCAGGTACTTTCAGCACAAGATTAAAGATACAATAACTTTATCAAAATACATATAAACTAATTGAATGACAAGTCTGTAACTGACTTTTAAAGATTAAGGTACAACTAGAGTTGATGATGAAATTCAAACTGTGGCTTTATGTGGCTTAAATTTAAATGTCAGTCACTGAAGCAGACATGTATATTGATCATTTCATGAAAAAAAGTTTACATTTCCCAATATGTATAAGAAATAATTACCAGAAAAATTAAATTTAGTCATCAATAAGACATTGTTAATAAGAAGAATCCAAACAAATGGCCTTGGAAAAGGAAACTATAACCATAACATGAGGTTTTCCAAAAAACATTTTGACAAGCCATTATCCCATGTTAAAAACATAAACACGATGACATTTCACATGCACTCACAACAAAGAACAGAGACTTTATGCTTCATGTACTTCCCCATTAATGTATAATGCTTACCTGGAGACTATGCTTGAACCATTATAGAGGTCACTAGCATAAGACAAGGTAGCCAAGGGTCGAACTGAATTGTATCGAGTGAACTTAGAAAGGCACTCTTGAAACTCATCCAACTGGCTTGCAGTTCTACTGTCATCTAAATTGAGATAACAAAGAGTTAATTTTTTTAAAAAGTCAAAAAATATCTGGAAAGAAACAACAAAGTAATATCCACTTTTTAAAAGGTTAACTTAAAAATTCATAAACTATTTTCTGGGCACAGCATTTGGAAACAACTACTATCCAAAAATTAATTTTCTGACCTCTTACTCAGCACTTCTTAAATACAATTCTATCTAATGAAAATTAAGTCTTTGTGGTACCAAAGTAAAAGTATTTCACTTTCCTTTTCTCATTAATAATTTCCTTTATATATCAACCAATAACTTCTTGAAAATGGAAAGCTCTCTTGGCCTAGATTAGGTTAAATAGCTTTATTAAAACTAAACAAAATTTACAACAGGAAAAAAGTATCAGAAGAAACACTTGTTGGTCTTAAAGAACATTTTACAAAGATTATAGTTATATGATTATTTCTGTTTTTATTCCTAAACCATGTTTCACAGTAAATTTTATTTTAAATAAAAAGAGAAGTCTCCTTTCACATCATACTTTTTTGAACAGCCAATTTAATGGGAGAAGTTATGCAGAATTTCAGTGGAACAATGATTTTTAAAAGTCAATATTTAAATGTCTTTCAAGAAACAGAATAACACACACATACACATACATAAAGTCTTGATGGAAAATTGAAAACAATGAAGCACAATATTCATCTGTACATTTGTCCAAGATATATTTAATGACTAATTCAGCAGGCTATCCATTCAGGTATACACCATGATCTGGTAAATAGCATTTTTCAATCATTTTATTTTTCCAGAATGGATGATTAAAAACCTGAACAAAGCCTACAGAAACAGGCAAATATAATAACTAAAATTGGCTGTGAAATGGAATTTCTCTTAAAGTTTCTACTGGCAAAATTAGCTATTCTTTTAAATAAAGGAATTGGTCTTAATCAAAGCTATTATCATTTGAAAGTATATTTATTAAAACTGTCTCTATGATAGGAAATCTAAAGTTCAGGAAATTGAAGCACACTTGTGAAATTGCAAATGGTTTCATTTGCTAAGAACTATTAAGTTGGCTAGAAATAACCACTTAAACAAAAGGGCAAGCTATCTTGGAAGAGGATGGCTAAAAGGATAGACAATTTACTAAATTTTTTTTTCTATTCTAAATATGATGTAAGACCATGTTAGGCTTGAGCTACAACATAAATATATTCCTATAGAGGGAGATATGGAAACACCCAGCTCTTGTGTTAAGCTTGCTGTCCTTAAGAAAAAGATGGGGACTTTTATACTTTGTGTGGTATTCTGGGTGTGTACAACACCCAGAGAAGGAATGGCTAGACAGACTGTTGTACAATTCAGAAATGTCAAATATGTGGCCTGCAGACTCAACACTTGATGAAGGCAGTTAAGCCACAGTAAAATTAACTGGGAAATACTTAATAAAATAAATAAAAGTACAAAAGAACATAGACAATGTGGTTTTTTAAGTCAATATACAGTCCATAGGAATCTTCATATACAAGTTTAGGGTCCCCAGGGATATACCCAACAAGTAAAAAACTGAATTCATTATTTTTCCCACCAAACCCTTTCTTCTTCCTAACTTGCTCACCATCCTCCTAGTCATCCAGGCTTGCAACCCCAGTGTCCTCCCTGACTTCTACTCTTGTGCCCCCTTCCACATCCAATCAATTGGCAATGTTAAAAAGTCCTGCTGATTTTATCTTCATAACATCTCATTACCTCTTTGTTTATCTGACTCTATCACCATCCTGGTACAGGTTCACATCACCGCATGCCTGGACTTGGCAATAGCCTACTAGCTGGTTTCCCTGCCACAAGTCTCTCTCCTTACTCCAGTCCATCCTCCAATCAGCTGCCAAAGTGATCTTTCTAAAGTATCGGTCTAACCATGTCACCCTTCCCCCTCCCATTCAATAAATTCACCTCCAGGATCAAATATGAAATTCTTTGTGTGGTATTCAAAGGTGTTTATAATCTATCTTCCTCCCACCTTTTCAGTCCTCTTACACTTCACACCTCAGCATATATTTCGAAATCCAATGACACTGGCCTCCTTGCTGTTTCTCAGACAAGACACTACATCTCTCAAGTAGCATTTTCTCTGGCAGTCCCCCATGATGGCTGGAATGCTCTCCCTCTTGATCTCTACCTTCTGTCATCCCCAGCTTCCTTCAAGGCTCAGTTAAAATTCTACCTTTCACAAGAAGTTTTTCCTCATTCCCCTTAATTCTAGTGCCCTCCCTTAGTTAATTATTTGTAATTAATCTTTTATATAGTTTGTACATGGTTGTTTACATGTTGTTTTCCCCAGTAGACTGTGAGCTCTCTAAGAACAGGAGTAGTCTTTTATCTTTCTTTGCATCTCTAGCACTTAATACAATGCCTGGCACATAACAGGCACTTAAAGGTTTACTGACTACCACTGTACATTTGAACCAGCTGCTCCAGCACCTAGAATGTTTACCCTTTTCACCTCAGTCTTAGAATCCCTGGCTTCCTTTCAAGGCTCAACTTAAATGTCATCATCTACAGAACTTTTCTGGTCCTCACCTCCCAAATATTTGAACATTCCTCCCTTGGGTTTGCTTCCCTTCCTTGCATGTAACTTGTATGTATCAATTTATATACATGTTGTCTTTATCTGTCATTAGAATGCAAGCTCCTCATGGGAATGAACTGTTTTTTTTTTCCTTTCTATGTAACATGATGTCTGGCATATATAATAATTGCTGTCTTACACCACTAGAAAGTAAGCTCACTGAGGGCAAGGACTGTCTTCCTTTTTCCTTGTAGTTGTATTTACAACACTTAGCATAATACTTGGCATATTGGAAGTACTTATAGATGTTTTATCTATCTAGAAACATATGTCAATTAAAATATTTACACACATATAGAGGGTGAATGGAACAAAAAAAGATAATGGAAAGAAATACAGTGGAAGAAAGGGATAAGTTAACAATATCAATATATTGAAAGCTGTCTCCTCTAATTAGCTTTAAGTGTTTACATAACCACTTTTACTGCTTAAAGGAAAATTCATGATAAATAGTATAAAAGAAAAAAATTAAAACAAATGTGCATGAAGATGGACCTGCATACTACAAAAATCCTAAGTGACAGTTTTCTTCAATGAACTCTCAATAGTTTGATCACTTAGGGAATTAAATTATAAAATGATAGTTTAAGCAGGGACCTTGAAATATCAGTCCATTCTCCTGTACAATGAAAGAAGCACATATAAACTATTAATGAAGAGTTATTTGTTGTTTTTCAAGATGAAGCAATGCATAGAATTATATTTGGATTTCCAAGCAAAAGAATGAGATGTTTTCTTTAGCTTCCCAGGAAATAGCTATGGGCAATATTATATTTCTAATATCATGTCTCTTATTCTAGGTTATAGGCATATAATTTTCTTTCACAGAAACGAGCAACACTAAAGCAACGAACTAATCAATCAGCCAACAAGCATCAATTCAGCATCTATTATATGCTAAGTAATAGAGATACAAATACAAAGGCAAGAAAATCAAAGAGACAGGATACTCATTAACTTGTTATCCTTTAAGCTCTAAGTTACTGAGGAAAGAAAATTTTCAAATTGGGGGATAATTTTCAACTTAATCCCGTAAGAATGAAGATTATATAATGACATCATCTGATATTTATTTAGCCCCTTAAGATTTACAAGATACTTACTAACTGTGTGACCCTGAGCAAGTCACTTAACCTCTGCTTCCCTTAATCCCCTGGAGAAGAAAATGGAAAACCACTACCGCATCTTTGCCAAGAAAACCTCACAGACAGCATTGGCGTGCTATGCCCATGGGGTAAAGAAGACTTTGTACACAACCGAACAACCGAACAACAACGAACAACAAAAATATCTGAAAATTCTATGGAGACATCTTATGTAAGCCCTACAAAAATCCTATATGGCAAGTACTTCAATTACTATCATCACTCTTGAACATATGAGGAAACTGGAGTTGAACCGCTGAAGCAACCAGACAATGATCAACGAATGTCAAAGGCAAAAATCTGAATCCAGATATTCCTTCCTCCAGGTTCACACTCCTGTCGGTTACGCCACACTGCCCCTCATATAAACTCAACATATTTTCATTAACAATGAGGAGCTTCAATTATTTGGACTGCTGCTAGAACTCCTTGCAAGAAGCTGAAAGGCTAATAATGGGATTTCCATTAATGATAATTTTATCCTTCAAAAGACGGAGGAAGTAAAGAGGGGAACTTCTATCCTGGATCTGGATTTCACAAATAAAAGAGACTTGGTTGATCAGATGGAAAAAGAGGAAGCTGTGGAGAAATGGAATACTAAATCTTAGAAATGATGACACAGAAGAAGAGAAAAGCCAAGAATAGAACAATAAGCATCAGAAGAGAAGGGAGGACCACTTTCAGTTTTCAAGTGAAGCTCTCAAGAATGAAATTCAAAAAACAGAAAGAAAAATTATTCCAACAAAAAATAGGGAAATCATCTAAAAAAGGGCAATGTGGTTATAAATGGAAGTCAATGACTCACATCTTTTAAAAGATATATTAAAAAAAACAGCAAGTAAAAGAAGATCAATACAAAAGCATGACAAAGTTCTTTAAGAATAATGTCAGGACAGCTAAAGTTCCAAATGAGCCAAGACCGTTGTTATTCTAGATGTTATTAAATCTATACTGGAGAAAAGAGGTGGATTAAAGAAGGAATACAAAACAAGTCAGGTTAAATGGGATGATAACAGATAAAAGAGAAACTGCAGAGATTCCCAACTCTTATTTTCCTTCTCTTCTCTATTGAAAAAAGATCATTGTTGGACTGGACAGGACAAGATAAAAATGGTACACATCTCAGAATGGAAATATATTAAACTCAAAAGGGAAATAGGAACACTAAAGGATAAGGATCAGGGAAAGATGGGTCCTAAGACAAGAGCAGGATAGGTAGAAGAATAATCATAAGCAAAACAAATTCATATGTTGGAGGAAGAAACATAAGGCAAGGATTAAAAGCGAAAAAAGAAAAAAAGAAAAATATTGCAACAGGACAGAGGAAGGGAAAGAGAAAGAAGAAACACAGGTTCTTTTATTTAGAGATCACAAATGTTAAATGAATTCTTCTTTTACCACCTTCTTATGTTTCAAGAGGGAAAAAGGAACAAAGGACTCAGAACAAGAGGATAGGATGGAGTATATGTTTAACAGTCATAACTTTGAATGGGATGAACTCATTTATGAAACAGAAGAGGATAGCAAAATGAATTTGAAAACAGAATCTGACAATATGTCATTTAAAAAAACACATTTGAAACACAAAGATTCACAGAGAGCTAAAGTGAAGAGATGGAACTAAAACTAGTATGCTTCAACTAAACACCAAAAAGCAAATTCAGCAATCATGATTTCAGACAAGTCTATAGTAAATACAAATAAGATAAAAAGTAAAAAGGAGAGAAATCATTATGCTTAAAGGCACCATATGTAATGAAAAAATAAAAATGCATAATAAAATGTATAATGAATAGCATCTCAATACCTAAAGAAAAAGTTCATTGAACTACAGGGAAATATGGATAGTAAAACTGTAACAGTCAGAAATCTTAAGTTCAGGCCTAGACAAATCTCATCAATAGGTGAACAAGAAAAAAGTTAACCACCTGAATAGAATATTTTAAAAATTAGATATGATATGTATCTAGTGATTACTGAATTATTAGCTGTACATGGCAACTTAACAAAAATTAACCACATGTTCAGGCATAAAGAACTCAACACAAAAGAGTAGAAAAGCAGAATTACTAAATGCATCATTTACTGATCACAATGCAATAATACTTAAATTAAATAAAGAGTTCTTAAAGAAAGAACTCAAAAGTAATTGCATATTATATAACATAATCATAAAGCATTAGTGGTTCAAAGAACAAATTACAGAAACAATACAAAATTTCATCAAAGAAAGAAGAGCAGAGGGGGACAGCTAGACAGCTCCAGCCTCCAGCCTTGGAGTCAGGAGGACCTGAGTTCAAATCCAGCCTCAGACACTTGACACTTACAAGTTGCATGACGCTAGGCAAGACACTTAACCCCATTTGCCTCACCAAAAAGCCAAAAAAAAAAAAAAGGACAGTAGACAGTGAAGTCAAGATGATGGAATAGCAACGGGGACTAAGCAACAAAGAAAGTTCTTCATCAGAGAAAAAAATTTTATTATCAATTTCAAGCAAACCTATATGCCATTATTGTTTACTTTGTTAAAATCATACGAACAAAAGATACATGCATAATGTGTGTGAGAGAATAAAATAAAGGGGGAAGGGACTGATCTGTGATTTCACTGTAGTTGGAACTCCTATTGAATAAATGGTTTCTCCCGATGAAGGTGGACAACTGCTCTGCAATACACTGTTTCAAAGAATTATCTAAGGGACTGCTAGGTGGAATCTAAACCTATGCTTTTCTGACTCTGGGGCCGGCTCTTATTCATTCCACCAGAGGGATCCAACACAGGGCTAACTCCAAAGTGCTGCCCAGACCGGACTGAAATAAAACTGAGAAATAGTTAACAAAAAAAATGAAAATGAAATAGAACATAGATAATGTTCATGTGTCATTTTCAAGTCAAAAAATTTTCATTTTCAAGTCACTGGGATCCTTAGGTCTGGTGTAGTGGACATTTCTATTTGAGTTTTATACCACTGTATTCTACCATTCTGCCTCTACCTACATTCATAATAGCCATAACCCAGGATGTTTTAAGGATTTTAAACAGGATTATTAGGCCCCATTTCAATGACTTGACAAAATGGCGGGCAGGATTTACTCAGAAAACCTAATCTATGACAATTTATTATGAACAAGGATTTCAATATACTGAATATATTAAGTATGTTTAAAGCTGGACATCATACCCCTTCATTTTTTACAGATAAGGAAAGTGGGCCTCAGTATAGTTAAGTGATCTACACACAGTCCCATAGCTTAGTGTCAGAAGGCAAGATTTTCTTTTCTTTTTTGGGGGGGGGGGCAAGGCAGTGGGGTTAAGTGATTTGCTCAGGGTCACACAGCTAGTAAGTGTTATGTGTCTGAGGCCGGATTTGAACTCAGGTCCTTCTGAAGGGCCGGTGCTCTATCCACTGCGCCACCTAGCTGCCCCAGAAGGCAAGATTTTAACCCAAGTCAAAGGCCATGTTGCCTCTTCAATGACAATAAAGGAATACCATTTTTGCTGAGAACATATGTACTTATTACTGCTTTTCTCTTATATTCAGCAGTTTGTTTCTGAAGACTAGAAAATCCCCCCCAAATTTTTTTACCTATCTTTCCAATCTTATTTCAAATTACTTTCCCCTAAAGTCTTCCCTAGTCTCTGTGCTATTATATAAACTGGCCTCCATGCCTGAAATATACTTATTCTTCATCTATTCCAAGAATTTGGTACGGTACCTGGTATTTAATAAGGAGCATAATAAATGCTTTTTGATTAATGATCTATGCCTATTGAAATTCTTCTCTTCCTAGAAAATGTAATGTAGGTGCTCCTTTCTTCCAATTAAGTCTTTTCGAAAAACACTAGTTATTTGAAGTTACTGTCTGGTTTTGTACAAAGAATGTATTTAAACTAGTGTTTTTCATCCCCAACTATATGGAACATCTTTCAACAAAACAGGCTTAACAAAATTGCAAAGTTCATCTAACCCTTAAGCACTGATATTTCAGGCACAAATGGAATGCATACCTGAGACCCGAGACATCCTTGTAGAAAAGTAACACTGCTCTAAATCCTCAAAATGAGCAGTGAGGCGTTTCCGTCGTGATGCTAGTGTGCTGTTGTACCAAGGCTGCTTTTTTGTCTGAGAAGGGGATGACAAAGGACAGATTTATTTAGAATACAAAGCAAACTATATAAACCATTATTTGTCTATGCATTATTGCTTGTAAGTTCATCCTTACACTTGGATTTTAAAGTAAACAATTAAGATAACTACTTCAGATTTATTAGTGGCTTTTATACTACATTGACCAAGTATGGTACTTTATCCATTAAAAATGTAAATCCTCTGCAAGCATATAAGCTCTCTGAAAGTAAAGATTGTTTCATTCTCTGAATTTGTACTGCCACTGTCTAGCAGTGTCTGAAAATAGCAGAGACTGAATACTTTATATTTTTAATGTGTGTGAAAGACAGACTAGTAGTCATGATTAAAGGTAATGAAATTTCCATCTATGATTCAAAATCTATAGAAAGAATATCTGAAGTCTGCCTTACTCAAAGTAAAATGCAAGAAAGAATCAGCAAACTTTCACAATAAGATAAGCCTGTGAGTTGGGATCTATTGTTTTATTTGGTGGTCTGCAAAGAGGCTCTAGGCCTTTAGGCAAGCATGTGAGCACATATGTACATGCTTAAACAACATACAGATCACTTAAAACTTTAAAAAATAACTAATTCCAGGTGGTAGTACAGCACAGAGCAAAGAAAGCTGACCTCAGTAACAGGAAGACCAGAGTTCCAAGTTTGTCTCTGACATATATTAGCTATGTGACCCCTGAATAAAGCTACACTCTAAGATTGTAAAATGCATTGGTAGAAGTTGTTTCTCACTTAGAGATTCCTACATAATGAAATCACAAGTCCAGACTCTATCTTTATTAGGAGAACTATCTCAAATAGTTTCCTCTTTCTTTTTTTTCCAGCTAGGCAATGGGGTTAAGTGACTTGTCACAGGGTCACACAGCTAAGTGTCAAGTGTCTGAGGCTGGATTTGAACTCAGGTCCTCCTGACTCCAGGGCTGGTGCTCTACTTACTGTGCCACCTAGCTGCCCCTATCTTAAATAGTTTAACAATCATTTTAGAAACATTATTAGTTAATTGGAATGGCATATCACCTAAAATAAAATGAAAGCACACATGAATTCTGCTAAAAGCAATGTTCACCAAACTATATTATGATTTATATCATGGCTTTATTGGTCTATAATGAACAATATATTTTAAAAATCACATGACAAAAATGAGTTTTGTAGAGAAAACCTGCTATCCCATTTATTATTTCTGTTCCCAAGTGGCCATACTTAATTTAGCTATGGAATTGGGATACAAAAAAATCACTGTGGGACATAAGGAATTTTGTTATGATATTCCACTAATAATGAATGTAATTAATCCTACATTATGTGCACTGATAGAGAATTTTATATATAGAGAGAGATAACAGATAATATAAAATAGTAATTAATCATAAATACTTTTGTTTTGATTTGCTTTTGCTCATGATTTTATGTGACAAATTTACTTTTCAAATCATGTTTTACTCAAGCTATTGATATCCATTTGCATTCTGTTGTGTCCAGATCACTTCAACCCACAGTGGTCTCCTGCCTTTAAGAAACTGTTAGCTTTTTTTGGTCCACATTCATTTGGCATTTTGAAAATGTATTAACTTTTCACATGTTTATATATTTTTTCCAGCTAAATTGTACAATGATCATGTTGGCATGTGTTAATCTGAGGCAAATGGCTCTACAACTCAAGAAAATGCTTGGTGGCAGAAGAAAATACAATCCAACTTATGATTCAAGTTCAACAAACTTATATTAAGTATCTACAATGTGCAAGAGACTGCTAAATGCTGGGGATACAAAGGCTTGTACTCAAGAAACTTTTATTCCACTGAAGAACAAGTCTAGTCAAGTCAACTAGCTTTCATTTGAGCTAAGCTCTGCCAAGGAGTTGAAAGTCTAATGCAGGAGACAACATAGAAACAATTCTATATAAAAGATATATGCAGCATGAACTAGAGGTAGCCTAAGAGGGATTAAGAAGGATGGGGAAAAGCTTCATGTAGAAAGTGGGACTTTAGCTGAGACCTGAAGAAAGCCAGGAAAACTAGGCATCAGAGAGAAAGAGATGGTGTTCCAGACATGGAGAATGGCCAACGAAAATACTCAGAGAAAGGAGATGGAATGACATGTTCAAGGAACAACAAAGAGGTCAATATCATTGGATCACAGAATATCTAGAGGGGAATAAGGCATAAGCAGACCAGAAAGGTAGAAAGGGACCATATTACAAACACTTTTAAAAGCAAAATAGTATTTTATATTTGATTCTGAGGATAATAGGGAGCTACTGGTGGGGCTGAATGGAGGCAAGTGGTAGGGATGGCAACATGGTCAGACTTGGGCTTTAGGAAGATCGATTTGATAGCTGAGTAGAATGGGGAGAGTCGTGAGACAGGGAGACCAACCAACCAGCAGGCTCCTACAATAATCTAGGTGGGAAGTGACAAGAGCCTGCACCATGGTGGTAGCAGTGTCAAGAAGAGAAAACGGTTAAGTGATGTTATGAAGGTAAACTGAAAAGACTTTTAAAAATCGGCAATAGATTGGATGGGGGGAGAGAGTGAAGAAGTAAGGATGACCCTTTAATTATGAGCCTGAGTAACCACAAGGACAGTAATAAAGAACAAGGTATTAAGAATGGTTAAGGAAAAAAGATAATGAGTGCAGTTTTCAACATACTGAGTTTAGAATATCTATGATGCGTCTAGTTCAAGATGTCTAATACAGACTGGTGGTTAGGAAAGAGGTTTAGGCTAGACAAGTAGATCTGAAAGTTATCTGCATAAAGATGGTCATTGAAACCATGAGAGCTAGTGAGATCATCAAGTAAAATATACACAACATATACGGACAATAGAAAGCGCATAACAAATACAAAGATAAGAAAATACAACAAACATACAAAATAATACAAAGTAATTTCAGAAGGGAAGAAAGCATGAAGATGGGAGGGGGGAATAAAAAGAAGGATTAGGAAAAAACTTATGTAAGAGGTAGTACCTGGGCTGTGTGCTACAGGCTGGAAAGGATCCCAGAGGGAAATTGAAGAAGGAATGTTATTCCCAAAAGTATGGAGGTAGGAGAGGGAATACCATATATAGGGATGAACTATCAGGCCAATTATGATTAGAACATACAGCACTTACAGGGAGTTATGGGAATAAGACTGGAAACATAGGTAAAAGTCATTTAGTGTTAGGATTTAAATGCCCTGCAAAGAATTTTTATTTTATCCTAGAAGAAATTGGTAGCTACAGTGGAGCACAAGGGGAGCAATGGGAGGTGCACACAGGAAGTTTGACTCCTCTGGTATAGAGGATAGAGAAGAGTAAGTCCAGTCTGGAAGCAGGGAGATAAACTACAAGAGCCCTGGCAATAGGCAATGATGTGCTAAACAACGAAGGCAGCTGTGTGAGTAAGAAGGAAATGAGCGAAGTTGATAAACCTTAACAACAGGTAAGAATGGGTGAGTAAGAAAGATGGAAAAGCCAAGGATGTCTCCAAAGTTGCAAGCCTGGGTGAATGATACCCTCAAAAGAAACAGGAAGCTTGGAAGATGGATAGGTTTGGGGGGGGGGGTGAAGAATCAGTTCTTTTTTGGACATCCTGACTTTAAGATGCCTGAGGAATACCCAAGAAGAGATGCTGAGTGAGCAGTCAAGCAGCTTCTCCCATTAAAGCACCACAAGAAGTTTAGAGGTCTTCACAGTGCAAGCACTTAGAAAATGAACATAAATTGCACATTAGCTACAATCCTATTAAGAAGTACACAAACATTTCCTTGAAATCTCTTAACATTTTTATCAACTTTGTTTTAAACTTAATATTAAAGAAATATAACAAGGTATCAACTACATGTTAGATTTACAACTACTAAACACTTTAAAAGAACTCCAACATATCTCCACCTCAGACAAGACATCTATGTGTGCATGCTCTCTTCAAACCTTGAAGCAAAAAGCACAAATGAAAAGGTATACAGTGCTATGAAATTAACCACAACAAGCTAAAATCATCATAGAATAAGTCAATAATAAGAAGGCAATTCTGTGCATGATTTTTGAAAAAAGAAACTTTCAAAAATCTCATGACAACAAAAACTGACTCTCAACAGGATTAAATTGAAAACAGAGATGAAACACAATGGAGAATATTCCATTACATATTCTGTCTGAGCAATTTGCCAAGAATATAAAAGCAGTGAAATCATTTAAAGATGAATGCTTCCAATTGTTGGTCCAATAAAAAAATAACAGCAATAGTGACTTCATAACAAAGCCCCTTATTCTCAAGTCCAATAATTAATGTGTCAAATCTTACATTAGGATGACAATAGTTAATTATACTGGGGACATTTGGAGAGTGTTCAAGATAAGAATGAATCCTATACCAAACTTATTTCCTAAGTAAAACTGGAATAAAAGCTAATGAATTTATTACTTTATATTGTACCCTTTAAAAATTCCACAGCTCTATACAAAACAAAATAAACCAGCAGTTAGGAACACATGATTGATTTTAAAGGCTACCTTTAAGGCTTAAAAGTAAAGAATTTAAAAGAGTTATCAAGACACAAACAGAACATTCAAAAGATTTCCCAAAAGATCTCTGTCGAGTGTGGAAAGGAGGTAGAAAGAAAAAAAAAACTAATTTAAAAATATATATAAGACTACGAATTAAGAAAGTTTAAGTAGGAAATAAAAATCTTAAAACAAATCTTCCAGCTAAGGAATAAACACAGGTTTGATTTTTTTTTCTTTTCATTTCAGTGTAACATAAGAATAATGAAAAACAGGGAGCCAATCTTGGAAAGTACAAAGCAAATCAACTAAAAATTCAGTGTAAGTCGACATTACAAACTCAAATGGCTATCATGCCTAGTTTATTTTTAAATGCCTTAAATCTTAAAAAAAAAAAAAAACTGAAAATTACAAACGACCTGATTAATGAATCCAAGATGTAAGTCAAATAATGTCAGACAAATATCACAAACAACATACAAGGTTA